CGAACCCACGACCTTTGGATTAGAAGTCCAACGCGCTATCCGCTGCGCCAAAGGGACCATTGGCCCAAAAAAACTTTTGTTTGCATTGATTCTTAACTATTATATCTGATATTGATGATAAAAAAAGTTACAGATATGTGTTATTTATTGGGTATAAGAATAATTGTTGTTTATACCCGTTATTGTTTGATGATTATAAATATTGTTTATCCTATATATCATTTATTCCTACTCTAATCAATAGCACGACTAGGGCCTCCGTGGCGCAATTGGCTAGCGCGCTCGGCTGTTAACCGAAAGGTTGATGGTTCGAGCCCACCCTGGGGCGTTATTATTCATATACTGGAATATTAAAAGAATATTTTTTATACCCAATAGTATTTAATGATTATGTTGTTCATCATATTGTTACGAATGTGTGGGTGAGCATCCACATAACTACATAACTACCCCTCAGTCATCAGGTAGTCGTGGTTGAGGGTGTGCGTTGCCTGCATGGCCTCAAAGTCGGCAAACGTGCGGTCCAGCGCTCGAAAGGGTTAATAAAATGTTTTTAATGTAAGCCTAGAGGACGTCATGGGGGGACAGCGTTTCGGAAGCTATCCCCCGAACCAAAAGTAGACTTTGTATAGTTTGTATAGTTTATAGGAGTGAAGTAAATGTTAACTATTTGTGTGTGAAGTGAATAGGGCCCGATGTATGGACAAGTATTGGACACTGGTTGCGCCGTGGGTTACAGATTAGTGTACATATAGGTTGCATGTTAGAATAAGCAATGTTTTAGGATAAGTGATTATTAAATGTAAATATAGGTTAGTTAATTAAGTAACGAACAAACGCCTTTTCATTAGTAATATTTAAAGTAACTAGTCTTCTACAGGATTGCGACGTCACGGTAAGGTTGTAGAAAGACCGCGAATGTACACAATAATAATAAATTAGAGCATGACTAAAGGAGTATAGTATAAAATTAAAAGGGGTCCATGACAATACATATAGTTCACCCCTACTATTATCAGCATTACGACAAGGGTCTACGAGGCAAAATATTTATTATTTATACCCTAGAATATTCAATGAAAATTGTTTATATCTAATAGAATTTCATGATTTTATTGTTCATCATATATATAGTTTATCACTAGTATTATAAGCATTATGACAAGGGCCTATTGTAATTATTGTTTGTGCTATATATAATTTACTCCTATTATTATCAACAGCACAACAAGAGTCTCCGTGGCGCAATTGGCGTTGGTGGTTCGAGCCCACCCGAGGGCGTATGGTAGTTATTATTTATACTCTGGAATATTCAATGCATATTGTTTATACCCAATAGTATTTGATGATTATATTATTCATCATATATGCAGTTTACACGAGCCCGGACATTTCTTTAAATTCGAGCACATATTATTTACTACAGTATTGTATATTGGATCGAGAACATATTATTTACAACAATGTTGTACATTGGTTCCAACACAAACACGCACTGGATAAAACCCGTGGCTTGTTGGTCTAGGGTTATGATTTCGGCTTAGATATTAAACGTAAGTGGCAAATCATGTAATGTCGGTTTGGCGAATGTACACAATAATAATAAATTAGAGCATGACTAAAGGAGTATAGTAAGTAAATAAAAGGATATTCATGACAAATAAAATGGGGTCCATGACAATACATATAGTTCACCCCTACTATTATCAGCATTACGACAAGGGTCTACGAGGAAAAATATTTATTATTTATACCCTAGAATATTCAATGAAAATTGTTTATATCTAATAGAATTTCATGATTTTATTGTTCATCATATATATAGTTTATCCCTAGTATTATAAGCATTATGACAAGGGCCCATTGTAATTATTGTTTGTGCTATATATAATTTACTCCTATTATTATCAACAGCACAACAAGAGTCTCCGTGGCGCAATTGGCGTTGGTGGTTCGAGCCCACCCAATGGCGTATGGTAGTTATTATTTATACTCTGGAATATTCAATGCATATTGTTTATACCCAATAGTATTTGATGATTATATTATTCATCATATATGTAGTTTACACGAGCCCGGACATTTCTTTGAATTCGTGAACATATTATTTACTACAGTATTATATATTCGATCAAGAACATATTATTCACAACAATGTTGTACATTGGTTCCAACACAAACACGTACTGGATAAAACCCGTGGCTCGTTGGTCTAGGGGTATGATTTCTGCTTAAGGTGCAGGATGTCCCAGGTTCAAATCCCGGACGAGCCCGGACATTTCTTTAAATTCGAGTACATATCATTTACTACAAAATTGTAGTAATATTTACTACAATGTTGTAGACTGGATCCAACACAAAGACGCACTGGGTCAAACCCGTGGCTCGTTGGTCTAGGGGTATGATTTTGGCTTAGATAATAAACGTAAGTGGCAAATCATGTGTGAAATGAGTTTATTTAGGGGTAGGGGTGAAATGAGTTTATTTAGGGGTATGATTTCTGCTTAGGGTGCGGGAGGTCCCGGGTTCAAATCCCGGACCAGCCCGGACTTTTCTTTAAATTCGAGCACATATTATTTACTACAATGTTGTGCATTGGATGCAACACAAACACGCACTGGGTAGAACATGTGGTTTGTTGGTCTAGGGGTATGATTCCCGCTTTGGGTGGGGGAAGTCCCGTGTTCAAATCCTGTACGAACCCGCGCATTTCTTTTAATTCGAGCGCATATTTCTTACTACATTGTTGTTATAAATATAATAATAATGTCGATTTGGTATAATATTGATTCTACCCATATTGAAACTTTCTTTTAATTTTGACAAATTGCAACACGAAAGTAATAAACGTGATTGCGTCGGCCGGGAATCGAACCCGGATCAACTGCTTGGAAGGCAACTATGCTGACCATTATATCTATATATGGTGGTATATAATTATACCACCGACGCCTAACATATTGCATTCAATTATGGTGTAATAACTTATAGTTGTAACTTATTAAGTTGATAAAGTTTATTGTGAGTCTCTGTATGTAGACAGCAAAATTCCAAGACATGACAAATAATTTCTTAAAATTTTCATTTTACCCATATTGAAACTTTTTTTTAATTTTGACAAATTGCAACAGAAAAGTAATAAACGTGTTTGCGTCGGCCGGGAATCGAACCCGGATCAGCTGCTTGGAAGGCAACTATGCTGACCATTACACCACCGACGCCTAATATACTGCATTCAATTATGGTGTAATAACTTATAGTTGTAACTTATTAAGTTGATAAAGTTTATTGTGAGTCTCTGTATGTAGACAGCAAAATTCCAAGACATGACAAATAATTTCTTAAAATTTTCATTTTACCCATATTGAAACTTTTTTTTAATTTTGACAAATTGCAACAGAAAAGTAATAAACGTGTTTGCGTCGGCCGGGAAACGAACCCGGATCAACTGCTTGGAAGGCAACTATGCTGACCATTACACCACCGACGCCTTACATATTGCATTCAATTATGGTGTAATAACTTATAGTTGTAACTTATTAAGGTGATAAAGTTTATTGTGAGTTTTTGTATGTAGACAGCAAAATGCCAAAACATGACAAATAATTTCTTAAAATTTTCATTTTACCCATATTGAATTTTTTTTTTAATATTGACAAATTGCAACACGAAAGTAATAAACGTGATTGCGTCGGCCGGGATTCGAACGCGGATCAACTGCTTGGAAGGCAACTATGCTGACCATTACACCACCGACGCCTAGCACTTTGCACTCAATTATGGTGTAATAACTTATAGTTGTAACTTGTTAAGGTGATAAAGTTTATTGTGAGTTTTTGTATGTAGACAGCAAAATGCCAAGACATGACAAATCATTTCTTAAAATAATTGTGATATTTCCGAACATCTCTTGTGGGTATTCAGCCGACAAAATTTAGACAAAAATTGCAACGCATGAACGGCTATAGTTAATTACCAATTTCCAAACTGGACTATACAATATATGGTCATTACATAAATTAGTTTTACTAAGCATCCCTTGCGGGGATCGAACCCACGACCTTTGGATTAGAAGTCCAACGCGCTATCCGCTGCGCCAAAGGGACCACAGGCTCAAAAAAACTTTTGTTTGCATTGATTCTTAACTATTATATCTGATATTGATGATGAAAAAAAGTTACAGATATGTGTTATTTATTGGGTATAAGAATAATTGTTGTTTATACCCGTTATTGTTTGATGATTATAAATATTGTTTATCCTATATATCATTTATTCCTACTCTTATCAATAGCACGACTAGGGCCTCCGTGGCGCAATTGGCTAGCGCGCTCGGCTGTTAACCGAAAGGTTGATGGTTCGAGCCCACCCTGGGGCGTATAGTATTTATTATTCATACCCTGGAATATTAAAAGAATATTTTTTATACCCAATAGTATTTAATGATTATATTGTTCATCATATTGTTACGAATGTGTGGGTGAGCATCCACATAACTACATAACTACCCCTCAGTCATCAGGTAGTCGTGGTCGAGGGTGTGCGTTGCCTGCATGGCCTCAAAGTCGGCAAACGTGCGGTCCAGCGCTCGAAAGGGTTAATAAAATGTTTTTAATGTAAGCCTAGAGGACGTCATGGGGGGACAGCGTTTCGGAAGCTATCCCCCGAACCAAAAGTAGACTTTGTATAGTTTGTATAGTTTATAGGAGTGAAGTAAATGTTAACTATTTGTGTGTGAAGTGAATAGCGCCCGATGTATGGACAAGTATTGGACACTGGTTGCGCCGTGGGTTACAGATTAGTGTAGATATAGGTTGCATGTTAGAATAAGCAATGTTTTAGGATAAGTGATTATTAAATGTAAATATAGGTTAGTTAATTAAGTAACGAACAAACGCCTTTTCATTAGTAATATTTAAAGTAACTAGTCTCCTACAGGATTGCGACGTCACGGTAAGGTTGTAAAAAGACCGCGAATGTACACAATTTGTTTTACTAAGCATACCTTGCGGGGATCGAACCCACGACCTTTGGATTAGAATTTCATTCCAACGCGCTATCCGCTGCGCCAAAGGGACCACAGCCTCAAAAAACTTTTGTTTGCATTGATTCTTAATTATTATATCTGATATTGATGATGAAAAAAAGTTACAGATATGTGTTATTTATTGGGTGTAAGAATAATTGTTGTTTATACCCGTTATTGTTTGATGATTATAAATATTGTTTATCCTATATATCATTTATTCCTACTCTTATCAATAGCACGGCAAGGGCCTCCGTGGCACAATTGGCTAGCGCGCTCGGCTGTTAACCGAAAGTTTGATGGTTCGAGCCCACCCTGGGTCGTATAGTAGTTATTATTCATACCCTGGAATATTAAAAGAATATTTTTTATTCCCAATAGTATTTAATGATTATATTGTTCATCATATTGTTACGAATGTGTGAGCACCCACATAACTACATAACTACCCCTCTCAGTCATGAGGTAGTTGTGGTCGAGGGTGTGCGTTGCCTGCATGGCCTCAAAGTCGGCAAACGTGCGGTCCAGCGCACGAAAGGGTTAATAAAATGTTTTCAATGTAAACCTAGAGGACGTCATGGGGGGACAGCGTTTCGGAAGCTATCCCCCGAACCGAAAGTAGACTTTGTATAGTTTGTATAGTTTATAGGAGTGAAGTAAATGTTAACTATTTGTGTGTGAAGTGAATAGGGCCCGATGTATGAACAGGTATTGGACACTGGTTGCGCCGTCGGTTACAGATTAGTGTAGATATAAGTTGCATGTTAGAATAAGCAATGTTTTAGGATAAGTGATTATTAAATGTAAATATAGGTTAGTTAATTAAGTAACGAACAAACGCCTTTTTATTAGTAATATTTAAAGTAACTAGTCTCTTACAGGATTGCGACGTCACGGTAAGGTTGTAGAAAGACCGCGAATGTACACAATAATAATAAATTAGAGCATGACTAAAGGAGTATAGTATAAAATTAAAAGGGGTCCATGACAATACATATAGTTCACCCCTACTATTATCAGCATTACGACAAGGGTCTACGAGGCAAAATATTTATTATTTATACCCTAGAATATTCAATGAAAATTGTTTATATCTAATAGAATTTCATGATTTTATTGTTCATCATATATATCGTTTATCACTAGTATTATAAGCATTATGACAAGGGCCTATTGTAATTATTGTTTGTGCTATATATAATTTACTCATGTTATTATCAACAGCACAACAAGAGTCTTCGTGGCGCAATTGGCGTTGGTGGTTCGAGCCCACCCGAGGGCGTATGGTAGTTATTATTTATACTCTGGAATATTCAATGCATATTGTTTATACCCAATAGTATTTGATGATTATATTATTCATCATATATGTAGTTTACACGAGCCCGGACATTTCTTTGAATTCGAGAACATATTATTTACTACAGTATTATATATTGGATCAAGAACATATTATTCACAACAATGTTGTACATTGGTTCTAACACAAACACGCACTGGATAAAACCCGTGGCTCGTTGGTCTAGGGGTATGATTTCCGCTTAGGGTGCGGGAGGTCCCGGGTTCAAATCCCGGACGAGCCCGGACTTTTACTTAAATTCGAGCACATATTATTTACTACAATGTTGTGCATTGGATGCAACACAAACACGCACTGGGTAGAACATGTGGTTCGTTCGGAAAGGTTGGTGGTTCTAGCCCACCCGGAGGCGTAAAGTAGTTATTATTTATACTCTGGAATATTCAATGCATATTGTTTATTAGTATTGATGATTATATTATTCATCATATATGCAGTTTACACGAGCCCGGACATTCTCTTAAATTCGAGCACATATTATTTACTACAGTATTGTATATTGGATCGAGAACATATTATTTACAACAATGTTGTACATTGGTTCCAACACAAAACACGCACTGGATAAAACCGTGGCTTGTTTGTCTAGGGTATGATTTCGGCTTAGATATTAAACGTAAGTGGCAAATCATGTGTAAAATGTGTTTATTGAGTAGAACCCGTGGCATGTGGACATTGGACCCAGATTGAATTGCGCTCTATCTAAACGTTAATATTAAGAGCTAAAACTCTCAGAGAATTGTTTTTTATCTAATTGGAACCATTTGAGCCCCTGGGAGCAAGGAAATTTGCACATGACCATCTTAAGGACCACCCTAATGTAGTTTACACGAGCCCGGACATTTCTCTAAGTTCGAGAACATATTATTTACTACAGTATTATATATTGGATCACGAACATGTTATTTACAACAATGTTGTACATTGGTTCCAACACAAACACGCACTGGATAAAACCCGTGGCTTGTTGGTCTAGGGTTATGATTTCGGCTTAGATATTAAACGTAAGTGGCAAATCATGTAATGTCGATTTGGCGAATGTACACAATAATAATAAATTAGAGCATGACTAAAGGAGTATAGTAAGTAAATAAAAGGATATTCATGACAAATAAAATGGGGTCCATGACAATACATATAGTTCACCCCTACTATTATCAGCATTACGACAAGGGTCTACGAGGAAAAATATTTATTATTTATATCTAATAGAATTTCATGATTTTATTGTTCATCATATATATAGTTTATCCCTAGTATTATAAGCATTATGACAAGGGCCCATTGTAATTATTGTTTGTGCTATATATAATTTACTCCTATTATTATCAACAGCACAACAAGAGTCTCCGTGGCGCAATTGGCGTTGGTGGTTCGAGCCCACCCAATGGCGTATGGTAGTTATTATTTATACTCTGGAATATTCAATGCATATTGTTTATACCCAATAGTATTTGATGATTATAATTCATCATATATGTAGTTTACACGAGCCCGGACATTTCTTTGAATTCGTGAACATATTATTTACTACAGTATATATATTGGATCAAGAACATATTATTCACAGCAATGTTGTACATTGGTTCCAACACAAACACGCACTGGATAAAACCCGTGGCTTGTTGGTCTAGGGTTATGATTTCGGCTTAGATATTAAACGTAAGTGGCAAATCATGTGTAAAATGTGTTTATTGAGTAGAACCCGTGGCATGTTGTACATTGGATGCAACACAAATACGCAATGGGTACAACCCGTGGCTCGTTGGTCTAGGGGTATGATTTCTGCTTAAGGTGCAGGATGTCCCAGGTTCAAATCCCGGACGAGCCCGGACATTTCTTTAAATTCGAGTACATATCATTTACTACAAAATTGTAGTAATATTTACTACAATGTTGTAGACTGGATCCAACACAAACACGCACTGGGTCAAACCCGTGGCTCGTTGGTCTAGTGGTATGATTTTGGCTTAGATAATAAACGTAAGTGGCAAATCATGTGTGAAATGAGTTTATTGAGTATACCGCGTGGCTCGTTGGTCTAGGGGTATGATTTCCGCTTAGGGTGCGGGAGGTCCCGGGTTCAAATCCCGGACGAGCCCGGACTTTTCTTTAAATTCGAGCACATATTAACTACAATGTTTGTATTGGATGCAACACAAACACGCACTGGGTAGAACATGTGGTTTGTTGGTCTAGGGGTATGATTCCCGCTTTGGGTGGGGGAAGTCCCGTGTTCAAATCCTGTACGAGCCCGCGCATTTCTTTTAATTCGAGCACATATTTCTTACTACATTGTTGTTATAAATATAATAATAATGTCGATTTGGTATAATATTGATTCTACCCATATTGAAACTTTCTTTTAATTTTGACAAATTGCAACACGAAAGTAATAAACGTGATTGCGTCGGCCGGGAATCGAACCCAGATCAACTGCTTGGAAGGCACTATGCTGATCATTATACCACCGACGCCTAACATATTGCATTCAATTATGGTGTAATAACTTATAGTTGTAACTTATTAAGTTGATAAAGTTTATTGTGAGTCTCTGTATGTAGACAGCAAAATTCCAAGACATGACAAATAATTTCTTAAAATTTTCATTTTACCCATATTGAAAATTTTTTTAATTTTGACAAATTGCAACAGAAAAGTAATAAACGTGTTTGCGTCGGCCGGAATCGAACCCGGATCAGCTGCTTGGAAGGCAACTATGCTGACCATTACACCACCGACGCCTAACATATTGCATTCAATTATGGTGTAATAACTTATAGTTGTAACTTATTAAGGTGATAAAGTTTATTGTGAGTTTTGTATGTAGACAGCAAAATGCCAAGACATGACAAATAATTTCTTAAATTTTCATTTTACCCATATTGAAACTTTTTTTTAATATTGACAAATTGCAACACAAAAGTAATAAACGAGATTGCGTCGGCCGGGAATCGAACCAGGATCAACTGCTTGGAAGGCAACTATGCTGACCATTACACCACCGACGCCTAGCATATTGCATTCAATTATGGTGTAATAACTTATAGTTGTAACTTATTAAGTTGATAAAGTTTATTGTGAGTCTCTGTATGTAGACAGCAAAATTCCAAGACATGACAAATAATTTCTTAAAATTTCATTTTACCCATATTGGAACTTTTTTTTATTTTGACAAATTGCAACAGAAAAGTAATAAACGTGTTTGCGTCGGCCAGGAATCGAACCCGGATCAACTGCTTGGAAGGCAAACTATGCTGACCATTACACCACCGACGCCTGACATATTGCATTCAATTATGGTGTAATAACTTATAGTTGTAACTTATTAAGGTGATAAAGTTTATGTGAGTTTTTGTATGTAGACAGCAAAATGCCAAGACATGACAAATAATTTCTTAAAATTTTCATTTTACCCATATTTAAATTTTTTTAATATTGAAATTGCAACCCGAAGTAATAAAACGTGATTGCGTCGGCCGGGATTCGAACGCGGATCAACTGCTTGGAAGGCAACTATGCTGACCATTACACCACCGACGCCTAGCACTTTGCACTCAATTATGGTGTAATAACTTATAGTTGTAACTTGTTAAGGTGATAAAGTTTATTGTGAGTTTTGTATGTAGACAGCAAAATGCCAAGACATGACAAATCATTTCTTAAAATAATTGTGATATTCCGAAAATCTC